TGAATTATTGTTAGCAGCTATCAAATTGTTTCTTAAATTAATTGTGTTCATTAACTTGTCCTGCACCTTTTAATACACTTAACGAATGTTCGACAATCGATTTTCATTTTTTTAGGTATATATAATATATTAAATATTTACTAGGGAATATTCCCAGTGTACAAAGTCATATTCCATAGATATTCAAGCGATGTTTCATAAAAACATGGAACTCATGCTCTCAGCCCAAGCTGTTTCTTTTATTCGGAATTTCTATATTTATAATTTGAAACGCCACAATCTTAATAACATTACAGGTACTAAGTTGTAATATTATGATTTATGTTTTAAATTTTTAAATTTTTCTCGAGTTTGGGTAGGTAGTGCACGGGCACGTGTACACATAAACACGTGTGCCACCACTGATTGCTCTGTTCAAACACAGGTCATATTTTATTGACTGAATTGCAGCCATTCGGTTCAGTGCAGCTTAAACTTAAAAACAGATACATAGGAACTCGAGATCTGACGATCGTCACTCAAAATACCTACCTCGAACGATATCACGATTACTTTGGCGGCAAGTTGGTCAACCGTACAGGCGTACAGCAAACGTGGCTATATATAGGCTTTAATATACATATAAGTTGCAGCTATAGTTGGCAAACTCACGCTGAAAGTAAAAACAACGTCCCGAACTGTTAATTATTGTTTGGTTAGGTGTATCTACTGAGGTGTATAATCGATTAAATTGATTATTTGTACTCCAAGTCGCTCAATTTGTTTTTCACAACTATTAGTGCGAGCGATAGGTAGTTGAAACTATTCACTCACTAGCTGCTCGCGGTCTCGTGTTTTCGTAACGAGTTTTCCCGGTTCTCGGGAAAACGAAACGATTGGTTTTCAATCTCCAATATAGTATACTAATATACATAATATATTACCTTGGTTAGGCGAAAAGTCACAGAGTTGACGTCTAGTAAAATAAATATCGGTCGCATTCAGAGCCCCCCAAAATAGATTGATTGGGTTCTATCCGCACTTTGTATATTGAGTATAAAATACTTACTTTATATCGATTGCCAAAGTGTACAGCAATATACTGGTTTTTAGAATACCCACATTTTCAATATTTTTTTTCAAGTTTCTAATAATATATATTAACACCAGTACTGCAATACAGACTGCAATGAGTAATCGCTTCATTTTCGTTTAATAAACGTTTGCGCATCTATGATAGCTAACTGAAGCTAAGCCCGTAGTTGACCCATATTCGTATATTCATGTTCATGCATCATCATACGACCTAGGTACCACTGATAATGTAATATAAAAAGAAATTTAAATGTTAATTTATTTAGTTTAAATCAATATTATTTAGTCTGCGATATGGCTGTATATGCAGCCAGAACTTGCAGTATATTATCAAGTGAGACCTGTAGATAGTTAAATACATTTTGATGTTGAATAAAGAAAACAATATAGTTAAAAATATAATAAGCAGTACTTACCTATCTGAACTGGTAAATATTTATTTGCCAATAACTTAGCAACTTGCAAGATATAGCTTAAGTGCAAGTGTGTTACAAATTACGTTTAATAATGTGTTTCTATAAATCGAAAGAATTATATTTCATCTAATAATAGATAGGTGTATAATAGTATTAAATATAAATTATTTATAAGCCATTCAATGTATTTTTTTTTAATGCCTACCCATATATTATATGCCATTGCCCATTATGGTAATATATTATTTGATCGCAGTCTATTGAATTCGGCTGATGCGCTTCATTTGCATATATATATTTCCGTAAAATAAAAATTATAATTTATATAATTTTTCTCCATTTAAAGACTTTTATTCTTTTTTTTTATTTTTAACCTGCTAAGCCGATTGAAAACATTCGTTTGTCTTATATTTGTGTCATTTGAAACCAGTTAGACTCGTACGGTTACCCGTAGTAGCCGGTCCGTTTAATATTAAATATTTTGTTCGAAATAGGTACTTTTATTACTCAAAAGCGAACCAAAGACGAAGTGTCCTGACATCAACAATATATTTGCCAGTTGGATAACGAGTAAATTGAGATAGAGGTCGCGATTAAAAGGTCGCCTTAATAGTGACCGATGCACATAGGCAGTTGTACAGGGTGATTCGACGAGCAAGGCCAACCAACTTTTCACCTTAAATAATGCCGCTGTTATTCAAAAAAGGATTTTTTTAATTTGAAAACATATAGGTACTTAAAAGTTAAGTCCCGTATACTCGAATATTTCATGTTTTAAAGAGTTTAAGAACACAAGTTTTGTGTCGACAAGAAGTGGTACACAAAATCTCGAGTATACAAAAATAATTTTTTTTTTTAAGTAGGTAACTCTATTTTGAAAATTTCAAAAATCTGAATTCGAATAACTGCTTCATCATAACATCCGGGATAAAAATCTTATGGACTTGGCACGGTATATTATTATAATAATAATATTTTTGAACTTTACAACCACCTGCACCCCGACCCCTTCTATCGCCAACCCGAATTCGCTCGGCCGGTCATCCATACGATATATAGTCGAAGTGTCAAGTACAATAATTACATAATATTATAATATTATGAACGACCGCAGATGACATTTGTAAGACAGTACAGTAGGTATAGGTGCTTTTATAACGTCGAGTGTCTCGGGACGGTATTTAAACGACTCCGGGGGCAAACAAAACATAATGATAAAATTTAGAAGGAAAAAAAACACTGCAAAACGAAACAACGGCGGTATTCGCCGAGACCCGTTAAAACGGGTTTTTTTATAATATTATGTTCGAGAGACTATGTTATTATTACTATATTGTGCGCGACAGTGTGGTGAGCGAACGTGCCGAACAAGTCGGTCGGCGTCGCTCGAGGGGGAGGTGGAGGGGACGGGAGAAAATGGCGATGTCGAAAAACTGTACACTCGGTCTCTTATAATCTATATAGAGATATATAATATAATATAAAAAAATAATATGTATTTCATTGTTTTTTTTAAACTCCCGCACTGCACAATAATACAATCGTGTTTGATGTAAATAATATATTATATAAAACAATACATTACAATATATTATAATATATATTTTGTATATTACAATAATATGGATATTTTTTATAATATAATAATAATAATAATAATCATAATAATAATAATAATAATATATAGATAGTAGAAAACAATAACAATCTTATAGTATTATGTAATAATATGTACAGGTTGTTAAATCATAATAATATTATGTACGCATGTTACGCGTTATAATATTAAAAAACATAAAACTTTTGCATTGTACAAGTTTAAAAAATAAAAACTTACGATTATAAATAATTTATTACAGAATATAAGTTTCATGACGATGAGTAATAATATTAATAAAAATCAAAATAGTAATATTACAGTGATCGTACAAATAAATTAATAAATAAATACCATTATATCGTAATATTCTTCGACAATAACACTCGAGTTCATGCAATATAATAAAATTGCATTATAATATTATTGTACACTAAGCATAATGTTTTAATATTCGATATTGTAACGCAAACGCAAGACGATAAAGTAATATTACAATATTGTATAATATGCTTTCCTTCTCGTTATTATATCTATTTTATTAATCATAATAATAATTTATACAATTTTACTATGTATAATAATATTAACTATTATTTTACAGGGTCGGCGTTTATCGACCCGCGTCAAAATGCATCACCAAAAACTCAAAAACCGAACAACGGCAACAGGTACGTGATCGAACGTTTATCACAGATATATTTTATTCGGCCTCGGCACTGCCGTATGAATCGGGAGAAGTGGTTTCCGAAGATTCGAAAGGGGAGGAGAGGGGTCCTCTAGAGGCGTTATTTTAAAAATCTTATTGAAAAAGGCAACCAAATAGTTGTCTATTCCGGCGGGTCTGTCGTGGATGGATTCCGAGGCACGCCCCCGCCTCACTGCACTAATGGAAATTTGACTTTAAACGTCTCCTCAACGATGGTAATAATAATATTTTAAGTTGCAATCGCGACCACTGGCGGCGAAAAGAACGTTTTGCACTATTGGGTCCAATTATATCTACCTAACTATTACACCACAGTCGGTCGTTTATACGCATATGCGGCACACCACACAAACGTCTAAGGAAATAATAATAATATTCTTATTTTTGCAAAATAGCAACGTCCTCGCCTGCCGTATTGCCGCCGTCCGTTATGTTTTTGGCGTAACGTTTATATTGAAAAAAAAAAACAATTATATTTATATTTTATACACACACACACATACACTAATATAATATACATATATATTATATACAGCGTACGTACAGGGCGATTCTCTCTCGGCCGCGGTTCACTGAGTCTGGCGAAAAATTTGGAGTTGTGTCTCCGTCATAAATTATTAACCCGGAAAACCGGCAACTCGAGAACCGCCCCGTACGTATAATATGTGTTATTGTTACATGTTTATTTACACATTTTAATATCAAATAACCTGACGAACGCCAGCACTGACGGATAAAGGAAAACATGGTTTTCAGATTAAAGCAGCGTTTATGATTTCAATCACCCCCGCACAATTATATTGTTTGCGCCGGTCTGTTAGCCGATCATCAAGTGTGCGCTCGTCTTTCGGAAAGCAAACAAAAACAAAAAAAAAAACAATAATTATTATATTCGAGTTTCGATATAACAATAAAAACATTATCATAATATCATCTATTTTATATGTACACATATATAGTATTAGAATAAGACATTCGGTGGGCGACGAAAACGTGTTCGATTGATAATATGCGAAACATCGTCAAAACTACCAGAGCTTTTAATAATAATAATGATGATAATAATATTAAAATAATAATAAAAATAATAATAATAAAAGTAAAAATAATAATCATAGAAAAAAAAAAATAATAATTTACCTACATATTGATTCGCGTGCGAACGTATAACAAACAAAATACCTGTGGATCGCGATAACGAATGACAATAATATTATTATTGTATCCGTCTTCATGGCCTGCGGCCGCGATTAGTTGACCGCAACGGTGGTGGACTGGGCCGGAGCAGCGGTGGCCGACTTCCTGGACGACAACATGTTCTTGAGGCTGGCCACCTCGGAAGCTAGCCGGGCCACCTCGGACTTGAGCCTGGTGTCGTCGGCGGCGGCCGCGGCCGTCGGGGCGGTCGCGTGCACGGCACCGTCGGCCGGTTCGCCACCCATGGTGGCGGCGGCCGGTGACTGCATGGCGGCGGCTCGGGGCGCGGCCACCGAGGCGGCCGTCGGGCACGCGGCTACCGAAGCGGACGACGGCCGGACGCCCCATTCGACGCCCAGACTGATGCCAGAGTCGCGCTCGTCGCTGCTTCCCTCCGCGTCCCACGGTGGACTGGCCCGACTGCTTCCGGGTTCCTGCTTGATGGCCTGCAGGGACAGCAACGCAGTGGCCGCCACGTCCTTGTCGCCCAAGTGAGTCTTGTGGCGGAGTTTGTGTGGCAGACAGTTGCCGCCACCGTTACCCCCGCCGCCGCTGTTGACGATCGCTGCGATGTTGTTGCCGTTGATGCCTGCAGAGTTGTTGTCGTTGGCGTGGACCATGGAGACGCCGTTGTTGTTGCCGTTGAGGACCGCGATCGGTATACCTCCGCCGCCGCCACCGGTCATCATGGCCATCATGCCGTTGCCGTTGAAGTGGTGCCGGTGTCGGTGCTGATGAAGGTGATTGTTGTTATTCTGGTTGTTGTTGTTTCCGACCAACGAGCCACCCGGTCCGACTACTCCACCGGCCGCTGCGGCAGCAGCCGCGGCCACGAACGCCAAAGATATGGGCACGCAAGACGATGATGTGTCGTCACCGCTGCCGCTGCTCAGCTCGTAAGGAGACTGTGGCCGGCGGCTGAGGTTCAGCACGCTGTTGGCGGCGGCTTCGAACGACGGCGGCTGCAGTGGTGGCAGGACGGGCGCAAACGGGTACGGAGGGTACCCGGCTTGGGCCGCGGCGGCCACGGCTGCGGCGGCCACGGACATCTGCAAGCCACCAACGCCGTTTGAACGGTCACTCTGCTGCTGTTGGTGCTGGTGCTGTTGCTGTTGCTGCTGTTGTTGCTGAAGTTGGTGTTGGTCGACAGGGCTGTCGCAGTCGGACTGTGCGCCGCCATAGTAAGAGCCGTTCATTTTGGGTGTGGTCGACTGGACAGGCTGGTGTATGACCGAAGTGGGTATGGGACCGGACCCGTTTTGAGAGTAACCCACTGACGAGGACGAAGACGACGTGGACAGTTTCGGGCGTTTCGTGATGCTCAATACTTGTTCGTTTGTAGGCAGAGAAGCCATAACCTGGGAGTGGGCAAAAGAAAAACCACTGTTAGTATATCGAATCATTTGGGTCTATATATTCTATACGAAGGTAGTGGTTTTTTTGGGTGGGATGGGTTCATACCAATGATAATTTATAAATCATTTTTCGACAACATTTTAGTTTATTGTGCGCGTTTAGTTTAATATTGGAACATGTGCGTTTCGTGTTGATTCGGGCAGGTCGTTCACTCGTTCCAGTGTGGTACACAGGTGTTAAGTATTATGGTTTTCAAAAAGTTCAATAAGGAAAAAACGACCGAGAGAATAGTGCAAGCACATCGCTTGATTGTACGAACAACGCTTTATATCATACTACTCTACCCTACAAACAACATATCATTTATGATGTATTATTATTCACTAAATAACTTCATAATTGTGTAAATTCTGCTTAAACCCCTCATAAAACGTTTTTTAATTAAAAAAAGGACTTAACCCATAACCGTATTGTGATGATGTTTGAATTATTACCTGTTCAACGCTGACCACAGCCTCGCCACTGATGCCGAACTTGTCCTTGATGGCTGAGAGTTGGGCCTTGAGTACGTGGTTCTCCTTGCTGAGCTCGACCACCCGCTGTTCGAGGATCATGTCGTTGAACCTCCTTTTTTCACGGGATCGTTTAGCCGCCTCGTTGTTCCGCCGCCTCCGGTCCCAGTAGCTCTCGTCCTTCTTGTTATCCGGTATAAACTCACGCTGCTTGCGCTGAGCAAAGAACTCCTTGTGTTGTAGGTGCGCTGTCAGATCAAACCCGGGTGGGTAAGGTTCACCAGGTCCTGGCGATTCCGGTCCGGGAGATACCGAGTCATCGTACCTCATGCTCCCGGGACCGCCCGACTGTTCCATATCACTACAATACTGTGGCATGTTTCCGCCACTATTTTGTTGCTGCTGTTGCTGTTGTTGGCGTTGCAAGTGGATTTGGTGAAGTTGCTGTTGCTGTTGCTGGTGGAGTTTCTGCTGCTGTTGCTGGTGGTGGTGTTGTTGCTGTTGTTGATGCTGGTGCTGGTTAAGTTGCTGCGGCTGCTGCTGCTGAGTTTTCTGTTGATGATGATAACTGCTGGCCGTGTCCGCTACCATTTCTCAACCTTTAACACAAACACAAGTACGTGGACATGAGTTTCACACCTTATAATATAACTATAATACCGACGGCCATGCCGTCACACAAATTCTGAATCAGATACAAGTCTTAGGGAAATTTCCTTCACACAACCTGAACAAATTAAACGCTACAATAGTATTGAGACACATGCGGTATTGATACCCGAAACGCTTTTCCGGTATTATACGTGTGTGATGGTCTCCGGTTAACGACAGTTTATTGAGTGGGAAGGGGGGCGGGCTAAGTGATGGCTAAGTTCCCATATGGATGTACCAGGTACTCGTATTTTGTAATATTAACTTTTAAATCAACTGGGCCAAAAAGGTATCAATTATGGGAATTCCCAAAATACACCTCCTTAACCTCGACGACTCATAATTCGTGAAAATCTTCAGACCAGCAGTTTCCGTGGAATTATTAGTGCTTTTTTTAGCAAAGGATAGGATTTAGTGCCGTGAAACCAAATGACGACGATGACGAAGACTGTTTGGAAAATCTGTGACGCAGTGTACATGTCTATTAGTTAGTGTTATGCTAATGGTTGTATCGGAACACGAGTATGCGTGTGGCAACCTTGAACGAAACATCATCGTTAATGCAGCGGCGGCGGTGGAATTCCGAAGCTACTGTTTCGCAACAGACACGTGCTACGGTAAAAAAATTACTACATACATACTCCCCTCTCATGACTACTAAACACGCTCGCGGGGAGGCATTGGAAAAGGCCCCCCCCCCCCCAGTCGTTGAAATCTTATAAACGGACGGAATCTAAAAATTCGATCTCTGAAATACATTTTTCTAACGTTATTATATTCAACCGACCAGTGGTTTTGTTGCACTACGCGCCGAGGTAACAACCGAGGTGACCACATTCGCATTACCCGTAGATGTTACGTATTAATATGTCGCAGTGCTAACTTCTATACGGTCGTCGTGTTATAACACAATAATAAGTAATAAAGCGTATAATATTATACATAATGTTATATAAATCGCCGGACCGGCCAAGGACGGCGAGATCGAGGAAATACAATAATAATATAAACCGAGCAAGGTCGCGCGTAATGATATCCGACGATGTCTTAACACTGGTTCCGTTCGGCGAATATTTTTTTTCCATATTTACACTATATCACGCAATTGATTGTCATTATATAACACAGTAAACTCGGTGTAGCAGTAAAAAATAGGTAGTTAGTAGTTAAAGGTAATACTCTGCACCAGTATGCGCGCGCGGCCAACCCGTTTGGTAAAAGGCGAACGGACCGCATTTACAATCGCCGCAGTTGAATGCTACTTGATGTTATATAATAATATTAATTTTATTAATTTGACCTTTTGAGAACACCATCGAGGTGAATGTCGGCTGCATATATCGTTGTGTCGCAAAAACTAGTTTTCGAGTGACGGATGAAATTCGTATGATCACAATATAATAATAGTATATTATGCAATCATAGGTATCCGACTGGTACTGGCGCTAAGAATTAATGTTGTAGTGATCTGAGGATCGACAAAAACTCAAACGAATAGCCGTCGGCTAACGCCAGTGTTTTACACTCGTCAACTGGTTTCCGGCACGATTATACCTACCTATCTATTTCGAAATGCGTTTCATTTACTTATTCATCCACGATATCGGAATAAAACGGTTTTTTGTTTTTCTACATTAATCGTATATGTACCCATATACTGTAAAAAAGTAATAATATAAGTAGCGAACGTGATGAGATTCACGTATACGATAGCGCACGGTCTGGACTTCTGGAGCACAAATTTGAAAAGTACACAGTCGTTATTATGATAAGACGCGTAGGGCAGTCGTTGTTGAACAGAAGAGAGTTCAACACCGCCGATAACCCAATTTCCGAAAATGAATATTTTTTTCTACATTACGGTCGATTTTTGTATTGATTTTGTGTGTGTGTGTGTGTGTGTGTACACTAAAATAATTTATAATCTTTTCGATATTTGTTTCGTTTGCAACGTCGGTTTCATATACTAATTATTAAATGGAATGCCATTAGGCACATATTTTGTTACCATTTCGGTTTATAGATAAGCATGTTTTACATGTATTGTATTCATTACAAATGGGTTTTCGTATTTTTTTAATTAAAAACACTAATCGTAGATCATAAATGTATATACATACAGGAAATGCTCAGACTGGAAAATTTAGAAAGTTATATTGTGGCACCGTCCGGACATTAAAAATCCATCGACGGCGGCGTCCGATCGAACGAGACATTTTGTATACAATACAATAATAATATTATACCGAACAACGACGATTAGCAATTAACGAAAATACGTCTGTCTGCGACAGTCGTCGTCGTCGAGATCTGCACAACGTATAGCGTTTATGTTGACGACGATAATAATTTATGTAGTTTTATAGAAGCAACAAGTAATAACTAATAACTACAATAACAAACAATTATAAAAAAACAACGTGATTGTTGGTACACTTCTACATTTTACATTACAATCGGTCGTAATCGTGCCGAGTAAGTATTCAGTAGGTAGTACGTACATCACAACAATAATAATATGATATTATTACGTTAATTGTAATTTATAGGCTCCGCCGGCAGCCGCTGTGCGGCTCGTCGCTCTCGTTTACACATAATATTTTTATTATCGTAATTTGTTTGTACATAATAATAATAAATTAATATTTTAAAGCGTCGGCGACGGATGAAAATGTGGTCGAGCAGTTGTAGTCGGCGTCATCCGAGCCTCGTGTTGTCACTGTTTCGTAATATACAACGATGTTAATAATATGTTATTACAAACATATATTATTATAATATTGTTTCGCTAATGTCCTAGAATTTTTTTTTATCGTAATTTTCCTCTGCCTCGTCTCTGTTTTCCACGAAACGTTTTCGTTTCGGCTGGCGCGCGAGACTACGCATAAACGAGGGCTCATAAATAAACCAACCTAATTATAATATTATAAACACACACCTGCACGATAATAATATCGACAAGTGGCTCGTCGTAGCCTTTATAGTTATTATACTAAAGGACATTTTATGCAAATAGGTCGTACCGGTGGACTGGTAACTGCGACTTTACACTAATAAGGTAATATCTGGTCACAACCGTACACAGACCATATCGACCGGGTATGGTCAGAGATAATCTATACATTGTCAAATATACAGATAGATTCGCGTTCTCCGAAGCACCGATTAAACTTTACTGTTTTATTTCGAGATCGCTGTTCCAACAACTGTAAGGGGGAACCGAGGGGATAACGTTTTTAATCATTACAATATTATTCACTGACCTAACTTTATCTATACCTACATGCGGATGATAATTTATATACAATATACATTGATCACATAATAGTATATTGCACGAAATAAATCAAAATTTACCAATTCACTACATAATGTTATAATTTAGTGAACAGTTCTCACACTCACATACCAAGGACATAATATAAGATTTATATATTGTAATAATTATTTGTAAATGGAGTATTTTTTTCCGAATCAAAAGTTAATTTATAGTTTATTATAATGCATAATATTATAATTATTTATGCTTGATAAACATCACTCACTTTTACCACTATTATAGAATATACATACATTATATTAACACCTGATATAGCCTATATTATGTATATTATATTGCAATATTGTACTACATTTTATAATTTATTATAATCGTGTAAGCCTCAAAAATAAAAAAATGTTCGAAGTCAACAGCCAACCCCGCTCGCACGCTTATGAACCTGCGGTAATCGCGACACATGCTTCGCAATTTACGCATATCATTATCGTCTCCGTTATAGATACAATATTACGTTATTGCACATAATAATGCATAAATGCATAATAATATCGGAATCATATCATTATTATTATTGTTATAGTTCTATGATAATAATAATAATATCGACATCACATCAACGGTGTTGTAACGAGCGTGTTGGACGTCGACCCCGCGGCGTACCGAGCGGGTTGCGGGTGTGCCTTATCACCCATAAATTACATCAATATACAATAACTATTTATAAACAGCTGCAGCTGCAGTCTTGCGCAAACGTATACACACTTTATTTTCCCTTTTTCTTTCTCCACCCTTCCGACGACGATATTAGATTAATATGTTTCACTATCGTTATTGATTTTCGTTTAATGTCAAACCGGTGAAATCGACAGGTGTGCACTGTTATTGTCACGTGTGCCTTGCAAGAAAACACACACAAGACACGCCGTGTTCACCGGATAATGATGATAATAATAATAATAACGACGTGCGCGAAGTAATGACATATCAACGTCTCGCCGAGTAGAACCATATTTTGTATAGTAGGTATAGGCATGACGGATAAACGATCCGTATAATATGACCACAGGATAAGCTCCCCAAAAATTTCATCAGACCCCCCCCCACCCCCACCAAAAAGAGGATAATTTTTTAGTCGTGTGGGAGCGAAGCTAACCCACCCTCTGAGGCTCACATTGATGTTAAAAATGTTGGCCCCCCCCTCCCGAATGGATTTCTGCCTGTATACGTCTTATATCCAATAAGATACTTGGGATTTTCCACGGATTAAGAAAACAAATCCAATCGCCACGATGTCAAACGGACACCGGGCGGGCGGGGCCAAAGTTATAACGATGCATAATATTATTACTATTATAAACACGATGAAACGCATTACGCGGGTTTATGTAATAATATCGTGCACACACGCATTATTATGCTTGTAGTATACGTTTTGAAATCGTCCGATGACATTGTGCGCGAATTTTACGCGTCGTAAAAAACTCGACGGCCTTGGACGTGTTACACACGACTCGGGTTGAGCAAAACGCAGTGTGTGTGTGTGTGTGTGTGTGTGAGAGAGAGAAAAAATTAAATAAATAAACGAAATAAAATAAAATATACACTGCCAAACACCGACGCCGCCGCCATCGTCAATGCAAGTGCTCTGCGCGTATATTATATTACTAT